CGAACCCCTATGGCAACCTGGTCCATGTGTGTTGGATTGCAGTTCCTGTGTCTGATCTCTCCCACTGGATAGCAAATAACCTCTGGCTTTCCAGAGCCAGCCTCATACTGAAAAAGGCATATTTTAAGTCCAGACAAGTGAACCACTTGACTCCTGCTGGCAGCAAACTCAGCAGAGTATATGGACTAGGCACAGTAGAATGTAGTGTTACAGTTACACCCTTTACTGGGAAATTCTCATTTGGGTTCTAATTTTTCCTGAGGTATCTATATAGACACTGCAGATAACATTTAATACTGCACAAATTTTTCCAGTGTAGCCAATAGGTGACCTTTGTTACATCTTAAGTCTCCAGAGAAAATATAACTACTGTAAATAATTCTATACTCTTTGGCCAGTCTTTTAGTCCCATTTAATAGATCAATTTAGTAAAACAGTTATGTCTCATTTTATGAGTTGGCATTATAGACAAAGCTGGGATTTAATACATGTGGGCCACAGCCTCTTTTCTCCTTGAACCATTTTTGTCTCTCCAATTTCTCTCTTTACTAAAGACAAATTATAGCAGAACTAACTTAGTTGCCAAAATAAACTGTACCTTCAGTACACTTGCTCTGATTACTTGCATAAAGTACAGCAAGAATAATTATTAGCCAGCGAGGCTCTCCTTTACTTTAAAACTGGCTTTGCTGGAACCTTTTATAAGGAATCTCAGGTTAGACTTGAAAGCCTTCCACGAGCCCAGGTTTCATCTGTGCCATCAGATACCCGTATGCATTGGGTAAATTCTTCTTCTCTTGAGCTCCTCAAGTACATTTCTATTCCTGGACCTGTCAGAAAATGACCTTCCCTACTTACCACAGATCAGGAAATGTTATTGATGAGTATCTGGCTAGTTTTTCCAAAGGGCTTTTTTATTGGCCTCATTAAGTCAACCTTAATTCCTTAAGGCAGTCTGGACATCTCTGGAAATGCTATTCTAGCCAAAGCCTCGGTAAAATAACCAGTGCCTTCATCATGTCCTGTAAAACAAAACAGATTCTTATTGAACTTATGCAAATAACTATATTGTCAGAAATTAAGAATACTTACAAATGACTTTCAAATTCTGGAGAAATCTAGGAAAGAAAAAAACACATGTTTCAAATTCTGCCCAAAAGTCATACATTGTTTGAAAAGCTACAAATAGCTCAAAAGACAGAAAATGGTTTTCTTGACTTATGGAAAGCAAAACACAGAAAGAATCAGCAATTTCAAACAAAAAGCTATAAAAAACTAGCCCAGTTCCATGTAAATGATTTCTATTTTGTTTGAAGTTAGATTAGCAATATTCATAGACATGTTAACTTTCTAATAAGAGTTCTAAAAGTCTGCTTTTAGTCCAAAGGTACCCAATTTCCAAAGACATCAGGAATTTGAATTCGAGAGAATTCATCAGCCTCTCTTAATATTTCTTTTTTTTTAGATGAATTAAAATTATTACCAACAATATACATTAGGACAAACCAATGTTTTATAATATTGGAATATCATATAACCATAACCCACACAAGATTAATCACTATTTCATATTTAACAATGTTTCCTATACATTTTTGATAAATCAAATAAGTCTAATTTGTTTTTCTCACATTTTCAGTGGTCTTAATATTTCAAAAAGACCAAATTTAGAGTTGTGGCTTTTTTTGTTTTTTGTAGTAGTTGTTGTTTAGCTGGCCTGGGCCAAGTTTGAACTTGCCAGCCTTGGTGAATGTGGCTGGTGCCACAACCACTGTGCTACAGGCACCAAGTCCCAAATTTAGAGTTTTGATTTTGGATTATTTGTCAAATATCAAAGGCTTAAAACATTTGTTCAAAGAAGATTACAAGCAAAAAGCCTTTAGAGGGAATTCATATCAACTGGATCACATGTAAACTCCTTCACAGATTCTCTTTTATGAGCTTCATTTAACCTGCACAATCTATAAACATTTTAAACTTTCTTTAACTTTTGCCCTGCCTTTCACTTTCTTGTGCAACAATTCTATTTCAGGACAAAATTTATCACACAAGATTCTTTTCTTATACAATGCCATTTTTCTTTCTGTCTAATTTCTGTCTAATTTCTGTCTAATTTCTGTCTAATTTCTCTCATTCCCACTTCCCACAAAACAGGATCACAGTTCACTATGAAGTCAACCATTCACTCAGCCAAACTGATAATTAGGAGGTTTAAAAGGCAAGAATCTTATTCTTTGACAAAGATTCAGTTTCCCCAACAATTTAAACAACCAAATTATTACATTTTACAAATGAGAGACATTTTGTGAAATATATAACATTGATACAGGATTTTTCCACTTAGGGCTGGACAGAGAACCCATTTTTCAGGATCAGGTGAGCTCAGACATCAGTCTCCCATCTCTAGGCACAAACATATTGTAGGCCATACCCTCTGAGCCCTATCAAAGTCATGAACTAATAGCCCCAAACATTTTGGAAGGCTCCACCCTGACTAGGGAGAACACACTCTAATCCCCTCCCCAGACAAAAACTGAACCAACGACCTAATAACCTTTCCCAAAGTGATCGGCTTCATTCATTCATTGCTAGAACACCCATTCAGTTTGTAAAGGTATTTTTCCATCTAACAAGTCCTGGTCAAAATATCTCTCAGGGCCAATTATTTACCCCTAGACAAAGAACCCATGGATGAGACCTCCAACTTGGTCCTCCTCCCCCCTGCCAGTAGCTCTGGCACTCTCCACTCTCTCTGCATGCTCCTCAATCCAACAAAATCCCATTTTGTCACTGATCTGTGGCCCGGGGGCTCAATTCTCGAATCCCTGAAACCAAGGACTCAGAAAATTGCAGTAACAAAATCGCAACACATTCAGCCTTTCTGATATCTTTTTATTTTCCCCCAAGTCTCACATGGCCATGTGGCTGCCAAAGACTAGACCTCTGTCTGAAACAGAAAGCAGGAAACCTGGAACTTCCAGTTTCTCTCAGAATAGCCAGGGGGCAAAGTTGTAGCAGGGAAGAAGGGGCCATTCACACAGTTGTTTCACCTATGAAGAGAGTGTGAAAACCCACCTATTGTTACTGTCTCAGTCATTCTCCAAGCACTCATCTGCACATAATTCCAACCCATTTCTTAACCTGGGCAGCCTCAATTTCCCACTGGAACTGCCACTTAACCATAGGAGGTTCACTCCACCCTCAGAGTTCTCAGTCACATCACATCCACACACTCATACACCTCTCACCAGACCTGCTGGAGATCTCACACCCCAGGGGTTGATCAGACCCCTATTTCCACCAAAATGGTAGGAACCCCAGATTGATTATACCTTGCCTTAGACTTCCCTGTGTAGGTACCTGTTCCTACATGCCATTTCCTCCTGGTGTTTGACTCCTTGAGACTTGCCGAGGGGGGGTCCTTTCTCCATCCAATTGAAGTTTCCACATCAGGAGGCCAAATTGCCTCCCTGGTGTGCTCAGTTGTTCACGTCACCCAGGCTGATCAGGGGCCCCCACATGGGTGTCCAGAGGACTGGTGGCAACTACCCAGGTGCCTGTTCTCTTCAGGGGTGATCTCACTTACCAGTAATACAACCAAAAATGTTTCAGGAAGACGGAGGCCCAACAGAGAGAAAGAGCATCCAAACACCATGTTTATAGGAGGAAGGGCCTTATTCACCAACTGGGAGCTTACGGCATAGAAGAATTTCAAATGGCCCTGTCTGGCTTGGTCTTTCCCTTTTAATGTACAGTCAAAATGTTCCAACCCATAGGTACCTTTTTCATTGGCCAGTTCGAATTAAGTGGGAGATGCTGTTCCAGCCCCCACAGAACCACAGGATTTCACAGAAGTGGAAATTTCCAAGTTCCAGAAGCTAAGTTTACAAAGTCCCAAGAACTAAGTTATCATGGAGAGGACCCCACAGGTGTATCTTTGTGGTCTCCTTGAGAAGACCTGTTCTCCTAGACCTCACCCCTCTGGGGCATCCTCTCTCAATGACTGTTCCCATTTTGGATTTGCCTGACTCTTAAATACAAGAAACAAGGATTAAGCTTTGGAGTATGTATAAATTGTTTTTATAGTCTGTGTTTATTCTTAGCCAAATGACTGTTTAGAGGTTTCAGAGGCTGTGTATTTTAGTAGGATGGATCTTCAAGTTCTGTTGATGCCAGACAATAAAAGGGCTGGCTATGCTGTGATCACAGTGCACACTTCTACCTAAGACTTTAACCCAGGAAACCAAGCTACAATTACAGAGAGAAAGAAGGTAAACAATTATATGGACTCTAAATATGCTGTTATAATTGTGTATGCTCAGAGTGCCTTTTGAAAGAAAAGTGGTGTCCTGATGACAGGGGATAAGAATATGAAGTATATCCATGAAATAACATCTTCCATACAGGCCATTGCTGAGTCTAAGCATATGGCCAGCATGGAAAAAAGCAGTGAGGTCACTGGCAGAGATGTGAAGGAGGCCACTAGGGTAGTTCTGTTATCTGGGGCCTTCATGCCCCAGCTAGGCTGAAGCTAAGGACAGGAACTCTGCCATTTTGGGATGACACAGATAAGTGGAGACTGAATTCTCATGGACTCATTCTCTTTCCTGAAGAGTCCTTGGTTTGACCTCTTCTGAGTCACTTACATGAATGCACACATGGACGTTTAGTAGATTGGGGGGACATCATTTAGGAGGACACTGTTTGCTACAAATTATTTATGTGGTTGGGGCTACCTAAGGACTGAAAGACAACATACTGTGCAAAGAGTCCAACATGTGAGTTGGAAAAATTGATTTCACTGAGATGCCTATTTTTGTACTAGGACATACCTTTTCAGGCTGGATAGAGGCTTGTTCTATCTGAATGAGGAGAGCATCTGAAGTTCCAAGGTGGGCTTTTACCAGGCAAATGGGATCAGGCATTGCAGCTTGTCCTCCTTCTGATAAGAGTGGCCCTTGGAAATAGGCTTAAGTTAAACCCCTAAAACTTTATTAGGACTATGATGATGGCACTATTTTTCATCAACAGCAGTTCACCTAGTTAGTGTTGATACTTTGGGTCTGAGTGAAAAAACAAAAAGTTTGTGAGGAACCCTTCCTAACACACCAAGGTAAGTATGGGGATATAACCATGACTGAACAAGCAGAGAATTGCAATATGACAAGGTCAGATATTAACCACTATGCATGAGTTCCCCTCTTTCAGATCCCCATCACAGTTAGAAACAGAGAAGTAAAAATGACCCTCTGAAGTGCCTCTAATGACTCACACCTTGTAAAAATTGTTAGATGTGAAAATCATAGGTCCATCAAAGCAAAGAGGCGTCCCAGGGGAAAAAGATGACCCAAGTCCCTGGTGGGTTGGCCAGCCATTAGGTAATGTAAAGTAACTGTT